CTTTTGGCAGTCCATGGTACTTTCAATATTCTCCTCCAGTACCACAACTCAAATGCATCAATTCTTTTACAGTATTCCTTATTCACTGTCCAACTTTCACATGCATATGAAATTACTGAAAATACCATGGCTTAGGTCAACCTCAGTCCTTCAACAGACATCTTTGCTGTTCATGTGCAGCAGATTTGCCTAATGTAATACGTTGTTTGATTTCTTGACTGCTGCTTCCATAAGTGTTGATGGCCGATTTGAACAAAATGGGAGTTTTTGACAACTTCAATATTTTCTCCTCTGATATGGATATTCTTTATTGGTCCAGTGGTGAGGATTTCTGTTCTTTACATTGAAATGAAGCCCATATAGAAGGTTGTGGTCTCTGACCTTCGTCAGCAAGTATTTTCAGTGCCTCTTCACTTTCAACAAGCAAGGTTGTATCATCTGCATATTACAAGTTGTTAACGTTTTTGTCTTCCAATCCTGATGCCACATTTTTCTTCATATAATCCAGTTTATCATATTATTAGCTCAGCATACAGATTGAATAAGTATGGTGAAAGAATACAACTCTGGCACACAACTTTCCTTATTTTAAACCAGTAGGTATTCTCTTGGTTTTTTTTTTTGGAACAATTGTTGACTTGGTTCCTCATGAGACAATGAAATCTTTCGGAATACTCATACTTCAAGCAATGTTGTCCATAGCTTTTCATGATTCACACAATCAAAAGCCTTTGTTGTTGTTAGGTGCCATCGAGTCAGCGCCAACTCATAACAACCTTATGCACAGCAGAATGAAACACTGCCCAATCCTGGGCCAACCTCACTACTGTTGCCACACTTGAGCCCACTGATGCTGCCACTTCCCCAATCCATCTCGCTGGTGTCTTCCTCTTTTTCTCTCACCCTCCACATTACCAAACATGATATCCTTCTCCAGCGACTGGTCCCTCCTGACAACAGGTCAAAAGTATAAAAAACGAAGTTTGGCCATCTTAGCCTCCAAGGAGCACTCTTGGCTGCACTTCTTCCAGCACATATCTGTTGGTTCTATGGGCAGCCCATGGCACTTTCAATACTCTCTTCCAACACCATAACTCAAAAGCATCAATTCTTCTACGGTCTTCCTTATTTACGTCCAGCTTTCACATATACATGAGGTTACTGAAAATACCATGGCTTGGGTCAGGCGCATGTTAGTCCTCAAGCTGACATCTTTGCTCTTCAACACTTTTAAAAAGTTTTATGCAGCAGATTTGCCCAATGCAATACGATGTTTTATTTCTTGACTGCTCCTTCCATGAGTGTTGATAGTTGATACAAGAAGAATGAAGTCCTTGACAACTTTGATCTTTTCTCCACTGATAAGAATGTTGTTTATTGGTCCAGTGGTGAGGATTTTTGTTTTCTTTTACACTGAGATGCAATCCATACTGAAGGTTGGATT